GTTGAGATGACTTGGATGGGAAACAAATCACAATAGTGTGCATTGCCAATGCAATGCACACTGATCAGACCTTGGGGTTTGTAATTTTCAGACCATATGTCTGCATAAAAATGCATCTTACTGACAATCAGGAGAAAGTTAAAAAAAGCATGACATGAATCCGTATGCGATAATAAAAAAAATGTATTGCACATCTCTATGATTGCTTTTCCATTGCTGTTGAATTAAACAGCAAATGCCCTTCCATCTGCAACAGACGTACAGCAAATGTAATCACATCAGAAGCCTCAGCGGTTTTGTTAATTTCCTCCCCTCCGCAGCTGGAGCTAACCATGCAGGAGGCAGTCAAGTGCCTCCACTGTCTGGACGAATTCTGCCCCACCAAAGACGACTACAGCAAGCTGTGTCTCCTCCTCACCCTGCCCCGCCTCACCGACCATGCCGAGTTCAAGGACTGGAACCCGAGCACGGCTCGCGTCCACTGCTTCGAGGAGGCGTGCGCGATGGTAGCAGAGTTCATCCCCGCAGACAGGAAGCTGAGCGAGGCGGGCTTCCGAGCCAGCGGGAACCGCCTCTTCCAGCTGCTCATCAAGGGAATCCTGTACGAGTGCTGTGTGGAGTTCTGTCAGGTACTTCAAACAATAACTGACAAACTTTAATGTAAGATAACATAAGATAAGTAAGATAAATGTGCATTTGCAAATCTTCTTTTTTTTTTTTGTTTTCAAAGTTTGACTTAAGATTGCAGAACAAACTATATTTTTGTCTTTTTTTAAATTTTATTTATTATTATTTATTTAGAGTAAAGCGACAGGTGAAGAGATCCGAGAGGGTGAGGTGTTGCTCGGCGTGGATTTGCTTTGCGGGAACGGCTGCGACGAGCTGGATTTGTCATTGCTCTCCTGGCTGCAGAACCTCACTTCGAGCGCCTTCACTTGTGCCTTTGAGCAGCAGACCCTCAACATCCACGTGGACCGCCTGGTGAAACCCAACAAGGCCGGACACGCAGACCTCCTGACTCCGTTAATTAACCGCTTGTCCCCGTGTGCGACCTCTCCCTTCCGCCAGCGACCTCATTCGGCCGACACCTACATGTCCAGGTCCCTCAACCCAGCTCTGGACGGCCTGTCCCACGGACTGGCGGCTCAGGATAAGAGGGGCATGGAAGCCGACATGAAATCTGCTCTCAGCCGCAGTTTAGTGGAGAATAACGTGCATCAGCAAGACGATTCACCTGAGAGGTGAAGACCAAACATTAAACATTTTGTTATGTGTTGCTTGGAGTTATGGATTAGTGGGATTATATGTTACATGTGTCTGCAGGCCTACAGAGTAGATGACAAATAATATTGTATAATATAGTGTAAAACATTGGCTTTGGAAGTATGATGTTTAAAGGTACTTGTTGCATTGTCATAATAGCTAAATTATAAAGCAAGAAACCAAATCTGCACAGTTGACTTTCTCATGTGGATTGGAAATGCGTCCTAAAATTAAAAATTTGTAACAAAAAATTGCGAACAGCTGCAAACTACCATTTGACAAACTGACTTTACTGGCATCATCTGTTTTTCTGTGTTTAGGAAGCACCCACAGAAAGTGGTGGATGGACCCAACATGCAGCGCACCCCTCTGACTCCTGGGAAAGACGGTGAACCACCCTGCAGCTCAGAAACACAAGAGGTAATTTACACCAAGTGAATTACCAACTCCTTTGTTTTTAACATTTTTTTCACTCTAAAGCATATTCAGGACATTCACCAGACATTTACCCCCAACAATTAGTACTTTTAACCAAGAGTTGAGCCCTTAGGATTCATTCATGAGAACAACAATAGTGGAAAAGAATTTTAAGAGTCAAAACTTTGTTCCTATTCACTGATGTTAGAGAGCACATAGTTCCATTTTTGTAGGAGACCTCTGGGGGTGTGCTGATCCTATTGTTTCATTTCCCATCCAAGTCATCTCAACTTTGCCATGCTTCTCCTCCTGCATACTTTGTCCTAGAGCTGCCATTGTAATTTATATCTGTAAAGCCCCTGTGCCAAATGATGGCTATGTATTTTGGTGTCTGTAAAGCTTATAGTTTTTGAAATATTAATGTTTAATAAATTATAATGGCAGTCAAAGGAGCCTTGTATTGGTCTAAAACTGCCCCCTGCTGCCTCTACACATATGGTACTGCACCATAGTTTCATAATATTTAAACTCAGTAGTTCAGTGATTACAATATTAATATGATTGTATTTTGATGTTTTACTRTAATAYTGTCTTAATACTGCTCTATTGTTGTAATATTATGCATTTTTGTGTCAATAATTGTATTGGCAATGTGGTCTCTTTCTGCACACATACAAGCCAACCCCTGCCACCACCTTCTGCCACAGCTCCATTGGTCTAATGGTCTATGTCATGGACTTTCATGTGGGAGATCAGGGTTCAAATCCCAGCTAATGTAACTTTAACAAAAAATCTTCTCCAACTTCATATTGTCACACAATTACCTTAATTACAAACACCTGCTGACGTGACAGGCACAAGCTGGTATAGAAAACGCATTTGAACTTGGTCAACGTTCCTTCTGCAAGTCCAATGCTGCAGGCAAAGCCATGCTGCAATGACATGCTACATGGCAAYGCACACTTGTTTTTACATCATAAAAACCCGTGTCTAGTATACTATTATTTTCTTTAACTGCTTGCTTCTGCATGGTGGCCCATCAAGCAGATTTTATTCTCAAACTGTGAAATAACTTCCCAGGTTCCTTTGTGCAAAGTTACCCGAACAACAAAAAAAGAGTATGTTATATAGGCAACAAAACCTGTCTGATGGGTTAAAGGGAGCATGCTTTTCTTCAGCTTCTTAGTTATTTAGACTTTAGTTAAGTCTGAATGTACTGCTTCAGATTTAGTATATGTAAAATTTGCCCCCAGAGCCCCTGAACTGCGGGGTCTCAGTACATAATTCTTGTCTGAATCCTCCAACACACCTGTTTATGAGGCCCTTACACCTCGCCGACCTCTTGTACCCGGAGGAGGAGAAGGTGTAGATCATGGACAGTAGAAACACATCATCTGGTGTGATGTGTGGTCATTCCCACGGTGGCCCGCTTGCTTCCATCATCTCTCATCTTTACGCATCCCATCGCTCATCTCTTGGAGCAAAGTACTTTCAGATGAGATTGTTTTGAGTGCGTGTTTGTGAAAAGTGAAAATAAAACTGGAGGCTGGTGTGATGTGATGAGGGCCTTGAACACTTGTTTATGAGATGGATGATGGAGGACAAAGCCTTGAAAGTTGAAAAGTTGTGAGTAGTGGCTCTTAATTTTATTTATTTATTTTTTTA